CTTTGTTTTATTCACCTTATCTTTTTATAGTTAATAGGGGTAGTTTACTTTTTATACACGTTATGTTTTCTTATATAATTACATTTTATAATATACTAGTGCGTACCCGTGCGATGCACTGGTAACAATATTAAATAACAATTATAAATGAGTTTTGAGTTCGAGTCACGTAAGTGAGGAATCACTATTGATACTTTTTTTAAAAAGAATTATAATGTCACGTGTGAAAATTTGAGTACGCAAGGTTTCAAAAATTATTATTATTATTATTATTATTATTATTATTATTATTATTATTACACTGAGTAATCCGTGCTATGCACGGCTATAATAATTTGTGGAATTTATATGTTTATTTATTTTTAATAGCGAAGCCTGTCTATTTTTTTTTAAAAAAAAATTGAAGCCCAATTATGTTCCACAATATAATGTACTCAACTGAACTGGTCGGGTCAAACTTAACGGGCCAATAACATATTATTGAATTGACCCAAATAAAGCCCAACCATGAAAGCAGACTGAATCATTAAGTGCGACCCAACATCTCAACCCGTTATGGCTTAAAAGAATGGATCAGATGGTCTGAATTAGTCAACCGATATCTAACTGTCAGAAATCAAAGATGTCATCTAAAAAAGTTAAAAATATCCAAATTATTAGGTTATGTCATTACTTCTCCTCCTCCCACCGCTTTCCTTCTCTATTCTCTCTCTTATATCACTTATAGAAACTTGATAAAATATTCTTTCAAATTTTCACAAAAATGCTCTATTTTTTAAACAATCAATCACTTCTATTGCGAGTCGATTTCTTATGTTAGATAGATCGATATTATATCTTGTCTTTATGTTTAGAAAGATGCCTCTATTATTTTATTTCTTTTTATTGTCATATTCTTTTGTGTGTTCTAAGATTTTATTTTTGTTTTTTGGTCGAAACCGATGAAAAATTGACTCTGTTATTACTATTTCGACCATTTCAAGAGCTTTTCTTTTGAATATCGAGACTTATGATTGCTTTTTTTTTGTAGATTTTAGAATTTTCGTAAGTTTAATGGACGGATCTGGAATAATTTTTCAATTTTTGTCGAAATCCGAATTTTATTCAGTCGAAAAAAATGAATACCGGAAATGAAGTCTCATTTTCTATTTGAATGTCTATTTGTTTTAAAAAATATTACAAATCTTAGTCGGTTATATAAATTGACTGTATTTCGAAATTTAATTTAAGATTAAGGGTCTTAATCTCTAAAAATGTGTTCAAATCTTTTGTGATTGAACAAATCCCACATTTTAAGGGAAACATTTAATGCTACCCGATTTTTTTGTAAGACAAAAAAAGTTACCAAAAGTGGTATGTAATTAATGCAGATAGGATTTTGACCAAAATTTGAATTACTATTTTTTAAAAATGTTAATTCTTATTATATATATATATATATATATATATATATATTTGGAATTTCAATGCATTTTTCTTTCCTATATCTGGTACCTAAAAGTTATTTTTATTGTTCTTATGCCCAGTCAAACGATCCTTGAAATTTTGCCAATTCGGTATAAATCCACTTTTCAGTAAAATTGTCTGCTGCAGTAGGATAACCTTTTTACTTCACTATCTCTCTCTTTTTTTTGAACTTGTCCTTTCCGGCATAGGTATTAATGAATTGCACAGTCAGGGCATTATAAGAAACAAATAATGCTGAAATTTGGAAAATAAATATATAAATTCTGCAACAGTCAAATTTTTTGGTTCTCCTCATAAAATTTCTTATGAAATATGGGACAATCTTCATGAAATAACAATAAACCCTAGTTGATGTTACTGCTCGTAAATCAGTACTGGTAACACTTAACCGTCTACATATATATGTGAGAGAAAGGGGCCTCCAATGTTGATCTGCAAAAACATTGAAAAAAAAAATTGTTAA